TCCTTGCCGAAACCGGTTTGGCTCAGTGGATAGAGCGTCGGCTTGCGGACTGAAAGGTCCCGGGTTCGATTCCGGTCAAGGGCATGTACCTGGGTTGCGGGCACATCCCCAGTAGGAGATGTGCAGGAGGCAGCTGATCGATGTTCCTCTCTCATCGATGTTTCTAACTCTCTATATCTCTCCCTTCCTCTCTGTAGAAAATCATTAAATATATTTAAAAAAAAAAAAAAAAGAAATAGAATTCCAAAGGATGATTTTAAAAATGAAAAAAAGTCCTTTTTTCTTTTCCCAGGGGTCAAAGATGAGCTCTGGAGCCCATCAGCCCTGGTTAAAGCCCAGCTCTGCCTCTTGTTAGCTGTCTGAACTTGGGAAACTCCTTCATCCCTGTCCAACCCTGACTCTGTTTCCTCATTTGCAAGAAAGGGGAAACAAAACTCCATTTCTCTCTCCTTCTCCCTTCCTCTCTGAAATCAATAAAAATATATTAAAAATAAAAAAGAAGAAACATCAATGATGAGAGAGAATCATTGATGGGCCGTCTCCTGCACACCCCCTACTGGGGATCAAACCTGCAATCTGGGCCTTTGCCCTGACTGGGAATCGAACCGTGACCTCCTGGCTCATAGGTCAATGCTCAACCACTGAGCCACACTGCTGGGTGGATTATCCCCATTTTATAGAAGATGATATGAAGCTCATAAATGTCAAATATGGGAATTGTAAGGAACTGCTGGGAAAACATATCTGAAAGTATTCTGCAGACTCTCAAACACGAAGCAAGTGTTAAGCTGTTGTAAAATCCAGTCCCTGCCCTTGACTTTACAATGTGGTGGGCAGGTAAAGACAAGTACACATGAGGAGAATAGTCTAGAATTAGTGCTGGGTGACAGGAACATAGAGAAAATGCTGCATTCAGGGCAATGGGCTGGGTGAAGAGGAAGGCAGCAGGGAGACACTGAATGGGTTTTAAAAGATGGAAAGACAAGCTGGGGACATGGAAAAGGGGAAAGGGACACGCCAGGCAAGAGAAAAGCATGCACAAAGGTGTGGCAGCAATTCTACAGGCAACCAGATGCAAACCAGAGGCTGCCAACTGGCGCCAAACCCAACAAACTCCATCTGCAGGTGTGTTTTACATGGGCAGTGTTCATTTCTTTGTGTAATATCACCTGGCAATCTGAAGCAGGGAGATTTCAAATGAAAAATCCAACTTCCCATTCTTTGGAAAAACCAGAAGACCTGGCCGCACTGGTTCATTTTCCCCAGCCGGCAGCAATCCTCTGTGGTTTCTGACAGGGCTCGTGCCACATCCACTTCATCGAGCACTGCCTTTCAACCGAGTCCACTTCACTCACCCCATTACTGCCTGACCCCACCAACACTGAGATCATGACCCCGCTGCAAACAAAGCCTTCTGTTCAGAAAGGAGGTGCATGAAGGGAGCTGGATAAGGGGAGATGGGGGTCCCTAGGGAAGCCCTAAAGGAGAGATCTGAACTGGACCCAGCTGCCACCCAGCCTCCTCCTGCACACCTGACATCTTTGCCCACTGTCATTGATGCAATCACTTTCTTCACCGCCTCCTTCTTCTTCTCCTTCTTGTCGCTGTTGAGCTCTGCCTTCAGCTCGAAGATCTCCCCTGAAAGAGGAGGCAGGCATGAGGGATCCATTCCCACCTGCCAGAGGGCGACTCCCAGTCCCCGACTTCCAAAGAGTGAGAGGGAGGCAGGTAAGACACCCCAGGCTACCAGCTGAGGGCAGTTTTAGGCCCCTGGCCTTGGGTGGGGCAGGCAGCAGAGAGACAACTGTTAGGAGAGGAATTATCAAGATGAAAGCTTGGAGGTCACACTGGATTGAGGAGAGAGGAACTGTGAATGCTACAGGGTTCTGAGGGAGACAAAAAGCAGGAAGGCAGATCCTGCTCACCCAGATGTCTAAAGACACACTGAGGGAAGCAAAGTCCTTTAGCTACCCTCACCCAAAGCCCTCAAGGCAGTGTGTAATGGGACCTGGGGGCTTAAAGTTTGAGGGGAGAGGGTAGGATTTGCTTGTTTCCCACATTCGCTTTTCCTGTTTTCCTAGGACCTCCAGTTAAAACAGCTCACTCAGGGTTTCACTTCCTGTGCCACAGTGGTTGCTCAGCTCTGAAAATGGGAATTCAGCTGCTCTATCTAACATGCAATAAACTGTCTTAAGAACTTGATGATCTGGAAGAAGCAAATGAGGAAGTAGGGTTGTTTGGGGCCCTGCCATGGAGAGGTACCCAGAACCCCGATAACCCCAGTAAAAGGTTAAGAGGGCTGCCTTTGGAGTGATGGGCTCTCTAAACAACAGCCACCAGCATTTCCTGAGCCTTTCCCTAAGCCAAGTGCCACACTAACTTCTTCCCACACCTTTCCTCATTTCATCCTTCCAACAACTCTGCATTTCCCCCATTTTACAGATGAGCAAACAGAGGCTGTAAGAAGTCCAGTAACTTGCCCAAGGACACACACCAAATAAGAGGGAGGGCCAAGATTCAAAGCCAGCTCTGCTAGCTCCAGGACACTCACTTTGCTTCTCAGGACCTGTTTTCTCGTCTGTACTCTCTCCCTTGACGGGAGCACTGAATTTTCTCATTTACACAGATGTGAGTCACTCATTTCAGTGTGTGGCACTAGTGGCCTGCATTAAGGTGGTCACTGTTATGACTAATTTATCACATGACCCTCTGTCCTGGCTATCTCTTTTGAAGGAATAAGAGCCCTAGTCCCTCTCAAGTTAGTTGGCGGGGGTGGGGGGGGGGTGAAGCAGACTATCATGTGCGACGTAAGAGCTGAGGAAGCTCTAGATTAGATGGATTTACAGTGAGAAAAAGAAAACTTAGCAGGTTTTTATCGTGACTGAATAACGTGGTGTTTACCAAAGAACTCGAAAAACAAGGTTAATTAAGAACAAACGTACAGCACAGCCCAGGGCAAGGCCAAACTGAGGGCATTGCTCAACAGACAGGAGGAATCTGCAGACCTTGCAGTTCAAATTCATGGCTCTGTAGGGCTGAAGGAACCCATACCCTTCTCCTCCAAGAGACTGTGGGGGCCCTGTCTCACAGCTGTGGAATCCAGACCATGATGACTTTGACCCTGGGCCCTGCTGCAGGGCTGCCCCTGCTTTGCTTGAAACCTTTGGCCGGTTATAGTACAACTGGCCGTCAATTGAGTCACCTTAGCTCCAAGAAGGCTGATGAGGTGAACTTGGGATCTCCCTGCATCTGAATATCTCCTTCCTCAGTGACCAAGCCTACCTCCTCAACCACATGAGGCATCTGATTCTGTCTACCCCACTGCCACCCACCTAGCTCAGGCACCATCATCTCCACCTCTCACCGGAGCTGTGGTACTGGTCTCCCTACGCGTCCACCAAGCTTCACTTTTTTATTAGACTCTGCCTTGGATCTTCCCTTGCTTAAAAACCATCACTGATGTCAAATTTGGATCCAGGCATCTCTCTACAGACATTGTCCTCAAAAGAAAACCCACATTAAAAGAACCCCACCACTGACACCCCAACACACTCAGCACTAAGTTCAC